TGAGCTCAAAATATTTAACATATACTTACCCCCTGTCACCTGCTGCCCGGCAGGATATCACCCTGATATAGGTGCCCTCCTCAGAGGTGAAAACCGTATGGTAGTAGGTGACTTTAATGCGCACCACGATCTTTGGCACTCAAGCCTGTCAAACGATCGTAGGGGAACAGACTTGGCTGAGCAGATAGACGATTCGACATTCTGCACAATGAACGACGACGCACCCACCAGGATTATGGGTAACTGCAGTAGCTCGCCAGACATCACAATAGTCAGCGCTGGTCTGATAAACAGCATAACGTGGCGACCTATGCTGACTCTAGCATCAGACCATCTACCCATAGTCATCTCGATTGATAAACCAACCGACTTTGCCTCCGCCAAACACCGGACCTATGTCAACTTTTCTAAAGCTGACTGGAAAGGTTACGCGGAGTTTACTGAAAACACCTTCGCAGCGCTCCCCACACCAACCGACGTCCACCTCGGTGAACGTAAGTTCCGCAGGGCTATCACTGCTGCTGCAGCTCGCTTCATACCGGCAGGATGTATATCGGACCCACGTCCAAACTTCCCTGCCGAAGCGGCAGTTCTAGTCGATGAGCGTGATAGCCTTCGTCAGGCCGATCCCGGAGATCCCCGTATCAGGGATCTCAACGCGGAGATTCGGCAACTTGTAAACGTACATAAGCGGAAGAAGTGGGAGGAGCACCTGAAGACTTGTAATTTCACCTCTGGTGTGAGCAAGCTTTGGTCAACCGTGAGGTCATTGTCTAATCCGACGAAGCACGACGACAGAGTCGAAATTTCCTTCGGCGACCATGCCTCGTCGGACCCGGAGCGATGCGCGAGCTATTTTAGCCGGCAGTTCATACTGCATCCTTGGGTGGACAAAGCCAAGCGTCGAGTGACCAGAAGGCTGCACAAACTGCCAACAACCTGCCCCCCTTGCTTTCACTTGCGGTGAAGTTCAGGTGGGCATCGGGAAGGCGAAAGCCTCCAAAGCCATGGGCCCCGACGGAATATGCATGCTTATGCTGAAAAATTTGGGTCCTGCGGGGGTAGCGTACTTAACGGAGGTCCTCAATTTGTCTATGGCCACTCATCATCCCAGACATCTGGAAGGTGGCGAGAGTGGTCCCACTGCTCAAACCGGGGAAACCTGCNAAGAGACGAAGGTGTACAGCAATTCAACTTTGTTGAGTTGTGCCGGGTACAACGTGCACCGTCGAGATCGCAAGCGAGATAATGGTGGTGGGTTAGCGTTCGTCACGCACAACACCGTGCAGTATCGTGCAGTAGAATGTCAGGGCATTGCTATCCGGTCAGGCGATGTTGAGCTCAAAATATTTAACATATACTTACCCCCTGTCACCTGCTGCCCGGCAGGATATCACCCTGATATAGGTGCGCTNAAAACTGTGGTCGGCAAATTATCTGAGTGGTCGACACTCGTCGGTAATGTTTAAATTTTACATTTCAAAGCTCCCTCAACCACCATAGGGAGTCTCGATCGTCTCTTACGCCGACGATTGCTCGATCATGGCTAGGGTTCGAAATTTCAAACTTTGGTATCGATTCTGAGTACTCATTCTGGCATCGAGCTCATGGTATCGATACTCTAAAAGTATCAGGGAAAAAGTATCGACACTACTCAGTATCGGACTCATTAAAATACGTTTCTTGGGATACTAAAATTATTTTGTTCTTCAATCGTATATCTAGTTATTTCCTGAAATTAAAACAATAGACATTTAAAATATTTGATTTTTATTTCATTGCAGAACTTACTTCCACGTTAGAAGTAATTTAAACATTAAATGTACATACATAAATACACACATATTTACTTTCACGAAATTTAAATTTGATTAAGAATCTTTGGAAACTTTGTGGGTATGCATTTTTGTAGCCTATTCAATTTTGATTAATATTGTGCAAATTTTAATTAAAAGTCAACGGTAGTAGGCTACACGGAAAGTTGAATAGGTTACAAAACTGCATACCCTAAAAGTTTCTAAAAATTCTGTATTTTCGTGAACTTTAAAGTATAGTTTAAAGTAAAGTTTTATGGCCTTATTCATAAAAAATGTTTATAAACTGAAGAATGTATGAAAGTGTCATTTTATTTAAGCTCTTGAAGCCTACTTTATTTTTTATGAATAAGGCCATTAAACTTTAACTTATTTGGTTTATGTTATGTAACAGACTACACGAGATTTCGGTTTATTTTAAGTGATGGACAAAATTGAATGATAGTAATCCATATAAGCAAGGAAAATTGGGTTGCCAATGGAAGACAAAATTTAAAAAGTGATTTTTTTAACAAGTATTCGATACTACGAGTACTTTGGAAAGTATCGAGAAAAATCGCCAAATAAGGTATTGAGTATTAAAGTACTCATTTTTATTCCCTCAGTATCGATACTTACTCAGTATCGATAGTATCGTTCGAACCCTAATCAGGGCGACTGGGATGGAATTGATGACCTGTGTTCGAAAGTAAACGGGTATCTCTCCGAACTTTCTCGCTTCTTCACTGCAAAGTGTCTAGCCCTCTCCCCTACGAAATCCTCCGCGACCCTGTTCACAACCTGGACGAAGGAGGTCAGGCTACCGCTGGGGATTCACGTCGATGACACACCAATTCCGACGGTGAATAACCCCAAAATACTCGGAGTAACATTCGACAGCCTGCTCTCCTTCTCTGCGCACTCAACCGCTATTGTCAATAAAGTACAGAGCCGCAACAAGGTCCTCAAGTCGCTANGGACAGCCTGCTCTCCTTCTCCTTGCGCACGCAACCGCTACTGTCAATAAAGCACAGAGCCGCAACAAGGTCCTCAAGTCGCTAGCCGGCAGTACTTGGGGCAAAGACAAAGAAACGTTGCTGG